AAAATTCAAAATATTTTTATTTTTTATATCGATAAGTGTTTGACTAATCTCATCGGACAGACCCTACAATATTTGGTGTCTAATCCTACTTCCTCTTAATTAATTTATTCAATAAAAATATAAAAATATTGAAAACATAACCGTTTTAGTTTTCAGAATTTTCACTGGATGACATAATCTAATAAAAATCAATCAAACATTGAATCTAAGAAGAATCTGGATAACATACCAAACACGCCCTTCCTCTCTTTTTCTGCCTTTCGTGGTTTACAAATCATTGTTGATTGACGACTGACGTGGCATGTAGAAGAAGACTTGGAGTTGGGACAAAAATCAAGTTGCGAAAGAAATTATGGGTGCTAGGTGCAGATGCTTCCTGCCATCTTCCTTAATTAATTAATAATATATTTTAAGAAACAAACCCTTTGGCCGCCCCCGCCGCTGTTTCTTAACAAGTTGCCTTACCAAATGTGTCATCTTATCTGCAACTTTATGGTCAACTTGACAAATTGTTGCTGTGGGAACTCAAAATGGGTCCCAATTTGGGGCATTGTGAAAGCGAAGAAGATGAGTGAACAATTTCCAAACTTTGTCACTTCTCAATCATTCAAAATTCAACATTCAACCAATCAATGTTGCATGAACATAACTAATTTTAAGAATATGCTAAGTTTTTGTGTTTCTTTTTTTTTGCCAACAACTTAGGCACCAATATCAATATGAAAAAGATTATTTAGCAGTAATTGACATGTGTTTTTATTTAGAGGTCATGAGTTCGAATCTCTCATTCTACTTCTTGATAATATAAAAAGAAAATAAAATTATGGTTTAGAGTACTCCCTGTAATTTTTATTTTGGTCCTTCTACTTTTAAGAAGTAATTATGTTAGTCCCTGTTCGTAAAATTTTAACACAATTTTTTTATACAAAATGCAAACTCATGAAGAAATCAATGCAAATCCAAAGGAGCTTGTGAGCTAATGGTGCCTAAAAGTGCCATAACGTAACCTAACAACCAACAAGAAGACCTCTAGTTGTCCTTAGTTGCCAAAGATTAAGAAGCTTTTAGTATAAATTCATTGCTACATTTTAAAAGGTATAATGAATGAAGTGTCATGCTGAAATTGTAAACGAAATGAACGAGATAGAAAAGAAAATTAACAGACAGTTTTTAAAAGTACAGGACTAAAATAAATATTTTGAAGTTATGTAGTCTAAAATGAACAAAAGTTGAACATATATATAGAAACAAAAAAAAGACGTTTTAAAATAACATGGACTAAAATAAACAAAATTCAAAGATCTACGGACTCAGCATTGAAGCCGAGAATTATACTCTCTTTGAACTTTAGAGTAGTCTCTTCTCTCTTTGTAATACAAACTACTACACACTTCTCTTTTGGTAAGCAAGATTACATTTTTATAACATTTAATTTTGAATAAGGAAAGTGTTAAAACTTAAGAGTGCGTTGAGTGAGTTTTTTTTTTTTTAAATACGGGTATTTAGTGAGCTGAAAACATACACATAATTTATAATATATCATGTGATACATATTATAATTTTAACAAAAATAAAATGAGTTTGTAATATGAAATTAATAGTAAAATTTTTTATTTTTAATAATGTATTTCTGGTTTTTATTCTAAATTTAAAATATAAAAATGTCGAAAAGAGAAAAATATTATTTTCAGAATATCACAATTTAAATCACATCATAAAAACAGTTTGTAAAAACAAGTCTGCCAATCAAAATAATAATAATAATAATAAATAAAATCACTTTGCAAAACGATGGTGTAACTGCTTATTGACGTGGCATGCGGACCAGATGGTACATCCACTTGCAAGGGAGCTATCGCTAAAAGTTTCTATTTTCAATTTCTTTTTCTCTAAAATATATATTTTAAAATTTTTCTATGTTATTTTATTCTTTTTACAAATGGTTGTCATGAGCTGGGGAATCAAAGAGACAGACTAATTCGATCGAGTCATCATTTTTAATTGTTAAAATGCAAAATTAATCTTTATATTTCAAGTTTATATCGATTAAGTGTATGAAATTTCCATTTGTATTTAATAAATCTTTGACATATTCAACGTTTTAAAAATAAATTGATCTATTAGATATAAAATTGAATTTTTAGTGTATAATAAGACTCTGAATTTTTAATTTTATATCTAATAAGTTCGTAAATTAAAAAAAAATGTTGACTTGATTATTAGATATAAAATAGAAAGTTCAATTAATCTATTAGATATATCAAACCGAATATAGCCCAGCAGTCATTCGCATATATCTTCAACCTAAAAGTTGTTAGCCATATTAAAAAAAAAAAACCTATTAGATACAGAATACAAAATTTAGAAAATTTTTAGATATTTTTAAAGGACCTATTGAACAAATATGAAAGTGTAATTATTTATTAAATACTTTTACAAAAATTTATTAGACGCAAGTTAAAGGTTGATGAATTAAACTTTGTAATTTAATATTTTTAATTTCATCCCATTGAAGTCATCATGTAAAATTTATTTTACGTTCTGGCCATGTTATATGCACTATATTTTTAGTTAAAATATTAATTGTTTTAATACGTGTGTAATATTGCATTTTAAGAATAACTTAATGATCTTTGATCCGCTGGCTTCCTCCATGCCATGTTGTCTTTGTAATCGAACCTTAAAGTTGGCATGTCTTCGTTTTTTATAGTACCATATAATAATATACTTCTTTTTCATTTAAAATAAGAAATTTTAACTTTTATGTCTAATTAAATTTGTGCATATTTCTATTAATAAATTTAAAATTCATACTTCTAAAAATAGCGTAAGCGTAACTTTTGTCTTTATATTTAATTTATATTAATTCATCGATTAATTAAAAAAAACATGCTAACATAAACGCTATAAATGCAAATTTATAATAATAAATAATTATTTTTGTCGATGGATCTTTTTTTCCACCAATTAATTTAAACAAAAGAATGCTTATTTGTTAATTAAAATATTTTTTACGAAATTTTTTATTTTTATAACTTTTTCAAAAGTATCCATCAATATCGACATTTTCATAAAATTGAAATCTCGACAATTTTATCGACGTGGACATTCAAAACCTTAATTTATCTTAATTTCAATGCAATGGTTTTTGCCAACAAAGTGTAGGTGGTGGGTAAGGATGTGTTTGTGAGTGACTTTAGAAGGACCAAAATCACTTTTACCATTATCAATATCACTTCCATTTCCATCGATGTTTGACAAATTAAAAAATTGATTTTAGGAAAGTTTAAAATCAGGTGATTTTGGAAAATCAATTATACTTAACACACCAAGATATTGTTATTACCTATCATACCTAAAACGACTCAACCCGGACCGACCCATAAAAAGTAGGAGAGTGATATGTAAGGGCAACGCTAAGATCTCTATTTTACATTCTACTCGTTTATAGCGAAGTCTTTGTAATGTAACCCTAACAAAAAAAACACAAAAAAAAATTGGGCGAATCATAATTTAAAAATCTCCAAATTGTCATTTTTCCTTCCACTTCAATTATTTTTGTTAAATTTATATCCTTGTGCCTGAAGTTTTAAGATTTCATTTTATAAATTATTATCAATTTTATCTTAATATGTTGCAAATTTGAACTAGCTCAACTGGTTCAGACATATATATATTATCAATGTACAACTAAAAATTCATGACTTTGAATTTCATCCCCATATATTAAATACTAAAACAAAGTGAGAGATCTAATCATCGACTTTTGATAGATAGGTTAGACGTTACATCGTTGTAACAAGAGTTAGACAACATTGCTACTTAATTTAATTTTTAATATTATATATTTAAAAAATTTCTAATTTTTTCCTTTTTTCTTTTTACAAGTTGATAGAGTAAATGAGTTGGGGGAATCAAACGACTACGTTTGGTCGAGTTGTCGTTGTTAACTTCATCCGAAGATTCAGTCATCATTATTGGGAACTAAAATTCCTCTACTTTCTGTCTCGATATATGCTATGCACAAAAAATATAATTTGTTTAAATTTTATCTTAGTGAACTTTAAATAATATTTCATTTTTAATTTCTAAACTTTCAAAAAAAAATTTACTTTAATTCCTTAACTATAGGAGAAATATTTTGGTCCATTATTTTGCTGTTAATTAACAAAAGAAAAACTTGATTCCAAATGTGTATAATATTGGCATGGACACATATATTGGAGTTATATATATAGGTAAGAATCGTATTGGATGGACATATCCCATGATGGAGTAATAGCAATATGTAACTAAAATATATATAATTTGAAAGTCCAAATATTAACGTAAGCATTTTTAAAGTATAGGGTTTTTCTTTTAAGAATTAAAACATACATTTTTTAAAGTTTATGGACTAAAATAAAATAAATAAATAATTCTAAACATTTATGAACCAAAATGAAATTTAAACCATTATATTTTTAGTTTAAATATAAGTGATCTGAATGTTAAAAATTTTAGGTTAAAAAACACTTTTTGTCCTTTTATTTTCGTTAAAGTAATAATTTAGTTCCTGAACTTTAATTTGTAACGATTTAGTCTCTATACTTTTAAATTGATAACAATTAGTCCTTCAACTTTAACATGTAACAATTTAGTAATTGTAATTTAAAGTTGGTAACGATTTAATGTTTATTGTGAAATTTTTTTGTTAAGTTTATTATATATATAGATCGATAAACTATGGAGGGACCAAACATGTTTATAAATTAGAAAGATTAAATTGTTATATGATAAAATTTGACACTTAATTTTAATAAATTTTTTACCTAAATTGTTATAAATTTTATACTACAGTGACTAAATCATTACAAGTTAAAGTTGAATGACTAAATTATTACTTTAGTGAAAGTACATGGACTTAATCATTACAAACTAAGTTCAGGGACTAAATTGTTATTTTTGTAAAAGTATAGAGACAAAATGTGTTTTTTAACCAAAATTTTATTATAATCGCAGCCTGGTGAATGAGTTGAAAATCGAAGCACAATAGGAGGATTTTTAAAAATAAAATTTACATTAAAGATTTTAAATCTATAACCCGTTGTTACATTATTTAATAAAAGATAGGAAGACCAAAATATTTTAAAATGTTATGGACTAATAATATATTTTTACCTACTTTTAAGATATGAAGTCAATTAAATTCCAAAAATAAAATGAAGTCCAGTCAATTATGAAAAGTAATAACTTCTTTTTAATGCATGTGATTGTTTATTGAATCATTAAAAAAAAAAAAGCAACTAGCTATAGCAATATTTTGAAAAAAGAAAAAAATATATATGTGAGAAAAGTCGGGGTAACTTTATCTCTATAAAAGTGCTTTTTCAAGCACTCAATTTTCATTTATGAGCTTTTTCTTTTAAATAAATAAATATATATATATATATATAATATGTATCTTTTCTTTGTACGTTTTATGTGTTTTGGTTTCTTATAAATCACTTGAACTCATGGTACTTTACTTAAATGTGATATTTATAATGCATTATGGGAATTATGTGGGGCTAATTTGAAATTAACTTAGTTGATTAATACATATCTTTAAAAAATCGACTAATATATATATTTTCTTAAAAAATAGGAGATATGCTCAAATTTCGTTAAAGCATAATTCAAATTATAAATTAATTATTTGAGACATAAAGATATCTAGGAATAGTTCATTGTTTCAGTGAAAAATAAAGAATAAATTCAAAAAGTGTTATCAAATTTTTTTTAAGAAATATAACTTTTTTTTAAAGGACACTATAAAAGCAAACCCAAGACTCTTTAGTCTTAGTCTTTAAAAGATGACTTGTTTCCCTTTTTAAAATTTATTTTCTTTCTTTCTTGTTTTCTTTTTCTTTTTATTTTTATTTTTGAAAATAAAAGATGACTTCTTTCCAAAGAATACTTATTTGTCCTCTATTAACCTAGAGCTCTTTTATTATTATTTTTTAATACGAAATATTATGAAGTCTTAATTCAGTTTCCAGAGTAGAGATAAAGAAATTTTAGAGTAAGAGCTTTAGAATTTTATTTAGAACTAATATAAATTCAATTTAAAATAAAATAATGAATACTCAATATAAAAGTTAAATAAAGTATTCTTTACAATCAGAAGAACGTAATTAAACTTTGGTCAATAAAAACTTAATTCTTTTTTTAGTATAACAACACGTGGGGTGGGTATTCAAACTCACGATCTTTTGGTCGAAAATATATATGTCTTAATCAGTTGAACTACACTCAAATCAAAATTTAAATAATTCTAATCTATAAACTTTCGATTTTTTTTATGAGACATTACACTACATATTATAGAATACATATAAAATAAGTTTAATATGTAGTTTTAAAAATGTCACAATTTTTTAATCTTTTCCTCAAAATATAGCACTTAGTTTGTTTTATATTATTTTTGAGTTTGAGTTCTCTTGAGGATGAATAAACAACCACTGAACCCAAAAACTTAAATGGATAGGTTGGGTAAATTTAATTCATTTATATGGATGTAAAATTTTAATTTTTTTTGTTATATTTGAAAATGCATATTTATTATATGCTAGTTGTTTATATGATGACATGATATATACAAATAGTTGTTTGAAGTCTATATGTGTGGAAAAATTCAGGACTTCTTTGTTGGACATACATATCAATTACCGTTGAAATATGCTTACAGTAAGTTAAGTTTTTAAGCTATAAAAAATGAGTAAAGATTTATGTTTAATGATTAATTAAAAAAACAACGTTAATAAGCTTTTATTCAAACTTTATACAACATAATATTTTGAAAATCTAAAAATTCCCACTAAACAATATATATTCAATTAAAATTAATTTTATTTCGAAGAAAAAATATTTTTCTTATTTAAGGAGAAATTAAGACAGCCCCAAAAGACACGCAAACTTCGTACAGAATCAACTTTTTTATAAAAGTCATAGATCATTTGGTCTCCACAAAATTCCTTCTTTGCAAAGATTGCTTCATCATTATTCATGAAAATGTTTCTTTTTGAAGTTTTACTTTTGAAGTTTATTTTTATTTTAACTTAATTTATTCTAAACTATCATAACCTGTGTGTAGTATTCTGATCGCCTCCAATAGGTCGGACAAGGAAGGTTGACCCAATTAACACGGAACATGCACAAATAGAAAAGAATTGCTACAATGCTTAAGTCGATCTTCATCGTCGGATCTATCGATCTAAAGACAAAGAATCAGAATTGCATATTTGTATATGGATCGGGACACATCTTTCCATTTATAGGTGAAGACTAGTGAATATCTCACTTATCCGTCAATTAAAACCATTGCATGATTCACAGCGTAATTGCCTAAACAACAGTTGATAAGTCGTTTGGTGCAGTCTCATATACTTCGTCGGCTTAATTTTTAGGAGGGTCGAAGCCTATATATTTTATTCATCAATTTAACATTTATGAAGGTCGAACCTTGTACCCACTTACGTTGATTCGACTAGGAGCAGGGTCTAAGTCGATTTTGAAGTTGTCTAATGTTATACTGGACATCCATAATAAAAAACTATATCTTGAAACGTTGTTGTGATGACCTGATACGTTCCGACCTATATGTAATTAAGTTGCCATGTGAGAGGTCACCTAAAGTATTTTTCTCTTGTTTTTATTTTCCTATACGACCATTTCTTTCTAACTAAAATAAAATTAATGTTATAATTTTAATAACACACCAAAATGTATATTTAATTTGAAAAAGGAAACAGAAGTTTTTTTTTTCTTGACATTTGAAAAAAGAAGTTAAAATAGAAAAATAAAAAAAAATTTACACGGCAAGTCGGTTTTAATTTTACCAAAATTAGATTTTCAACTTGAATAGGTGGTAACAATTAAAATTAATAATACCATTCTAAAGAAAATCTTGAAAAGTACCCAAAAATCAATTAATAAATAGTTCAACCCAAACCCATCAATAAATCATGAAATCGAACTAATATATATATAGTATAGTGATCTAATCTTAAATCATAAAATCGAACTAAATAATGTATATATATATAAAATATAGTGATCTAATCTTATAAAACAATAATTCAATTACGCGTACTCACCAGAATTTATTTTTACTACTTCTTCAAGTTCAAAATTTACTCACATCAAGTACAAAGGATGAAAAATCAAAATTTCCTTTGAATCAACTATAAATCTACACCATCCAAAAGGGGAGTGGAAACAAAGGTTCAACACCAAAAAGAAATGGCAACCTTAGAAAGTAGGCTTCAAGAAGCAGCAATGGAAGGCAGTGTAGAAAAGCTGTTAGAATTGCTCCAACAAGAACCTCTACTTCTCGACCGAGTCTTCGATGGCACGGTCGATCCTCCGCTTCATGTTGCAGCCCTTCTTGGCCACACCGATTTCATTGATCAGATTATACAACAAAAGCCTCGGCTCGCCCGAGAGCGCGATTCAAACGGATCATCTCCCCTTCACTTAGCCGCGGCCAAGGGCCATCTCGAAATCGTTAGGCTTTTGCTGCGAGTCGAGGCTGATATGTGCTTGCTTGGCAATGCACAGGGCTGGAACCCTTTGCAACTTGCCGCTGCAAATGGCCGTGTGGACGCCCTGGAAGAGCTGGTCGGTGCCAGGCCGGAAGCTGCCCGAACCGCTGTGGACCACGGCGGAAATGCTTTGCATTTGTGCGTCAAGAACAACCAGTTGGAAGCTTTGAAGGTGCTGGTTCATGCTATAGATGATAAAGATTTCCTTAATGCGAAGGATGATTCTGGATGCTCTATTCTCCATTTAGCCGTCTCTTACAAGCAGATCGAGGTATTGATAATTTACTTCATAATTTGTGAGTTAGGATTTTAATTTGGTCATTAAAGTTTCTTAAATTTTAGGTTTAAATTACAATTCTTCAATTTCAAAATCTTTTCTTTTTGATTTATGAGATTTTAAATTTGTATCATTTTAATCTACTTTACTCTTTGAATTTTTTAGTACTAATGAATTTTGATTATTGTCTTTATTTTATTTCTAACAAATAGGTGACTATTCAATAATGTGTACTGACGTTGACATGTACATTAGAGGTGAACATTGGATAATAGGTGTCCAGTGACAACATAGTATTAAGAACCAACATGATTAAATTTCAAAGTTTGAAAACTAAAATAAATATTTTAAAAAGTTGTATCAAAATTGTTTTTTTTTCTTTTTCTAATTTAGGAGCTAAAATAAAGAGAAATACATATATAAAAAAAAAACTTAAAAGTTTAAGGACCCAATAAAACTTAAAATTTTCCTATTTAGTTAGGTACACTTTCTTATGAATTTCTTGTTTAGACTTTGATGGTAAAAAGAGAGAAGGAGAAAGAAAAAGGAAATAATTTCTCTCTTTTATCTGGAGATGTTTTAGTCACAATTTGAAAACAATTTCTTCCATTTTTATTAATGAGAAAATTAGAACATAGATAGCAATTTTAACCTAAATATCCAATATATCACCCACTAGTTTAACGGAGGAGTACTAAAAACCAAAAGCCCTCATAAATATTTTATTTTATTTTTCTATTTTTCAAAATTAGGCCTATAATTTAAAAATGTTATTTTCACCTCCAAGTCTTTTTCAAAAAATATTTTTAAAATCTAAATTCCTTTAAACAAAATTAAATGATGCAGACAATACGATTTCTGGTGAACACAAACGGAACGGAACTAAACGCAACGAACTCAAACGGATGGACGCCGTTGGACGTCTTATTGCAAAGCAACAGAGACGTGAACGATTTGGCCATAGCTGTGTTACTCGGCGCCGTTGCAGCGCCGCCGCCCGCCGGCAGCCAATGCAGCAGCTGCAGCGGGCGGAGCTGCTGCAGAAACGGGCGGCTGATGAGACAGCGAGAGGCACTAATGGTGGTGGCGTCGGTGATGGCGACGATGGCTTTCCAGGCGGCGGTGAACCCTCCCGGCGGCATATGGGACGGCGCCGGAAAATCGACCCCACACACGGTTCGATTCCGGTGCTTTATATTTTCGATCACATTCTGTTTTGTGTTCTCCATCGTTGAACTTTTCTTGCTGATCATTGATCATCCCTCCAACAGTTCCCTTTTCTTGGGTTTTCTTTCCTTTGCCATGTTCTTTTCCATTGTTGCCATGGCTGTGGCTTTTGGGGTTGCAATTCTGTGTGTGACATAAAATTCTTTATGTTAATTTAATAAATTATTTAAACGTTAAGCACAAAAATAAATATATAATATATAATATATATACCAAGCTTTGTTTTTCTTTTTTAAATTCTTTATGTTAATTTAATAAATTATTTAAACGTTAAGCACAAAAATAAATATATAATATATAATATATATACCAAGCTTTGTTTTTCTTTCTTTTTTTTTTTGGGGAGATATCAATATGTATCAAGCTAATAGGTGGTCTGAAAAGTTATCTTTTCAAAAGTTATTTGATTCATAAAGGTACCGCATTTTAAAATAAAACAGAAAGTGAAATTAAAGTGAAATTTTATCAAAGAGGGACTTATCTATGTGAAAATATTGAATCCAACGTGAATCAAACATGCAACCTTCTGATATGGAGTCAGATGCGCTACCATTGCGCCACGGATCCATTGATGAGGGTGTTGTCTTTTAAAATTTATTTAAACACAAAAGCAACCAAAAAATAACATAAAAGGAAAAAAAAACTCATGAGTCACGATAGGTCATTTTTCTATATTATTTAGACTTTGTTGCATAATCATTTCTATTTTCGTTTTTCGTTTTTCTATCTTCTATTTTCAAAACAAAAACTGATACGTAATTTGATAACTATTTTTGGAAGATTTTAAAGCGATAAAAAAAGATTTTAGAGAGAGAAAAGTTAGTGGGTAAGAGCGAAATAATATTAGTTATTTAGAGAAAAAAATGTTAGAGAGAAAGAAGAAAAAAATTTGAGAGAGAAAAAAAATGTAGTGTGAGAGAAAACTTAAATAGAGAAATATTTTTTAGAGAAATAAATAAATAAAAACAAATAAAGACAAGTTATAGATGTACAAATTTTAGGGATAGAAAACTTTGAGAAATGTTAAATTTTTTGAGAGAAAAGTGAGAAATAAAATTATATTGAGTTATAAAATTTTAAATGTAGGCAAAAATATTATTCTTAAGAAAAAGATGGCGGAGGTTTCTTTGGAATTATAACAGCTCATCCGCCGGCTGCGGCCGGCCGGCCTAGGGATTAGGGAACACCCATTAACGTAAACCTAATTGGGGATTGATTTAATTTCATTTAAAAAAAAAGTGTTCACTTCAACYATTATATAATTATTTTATGTTCTTTATCTTTAATTTTTAAAACATGTTCCTAGAATTGTATAGAACATTTTAGAAACAAAATAAAAAACACCATTTTTTTTTTGTCCTATTTTCAATCAAATCAAGTTTTCTTCTTTATTCAATAAAAAAATGAAGAACAAGATAGAGTTACCAAATAAAATTGTGTTTTTCTGGATTAAAAAAGAGGAAAGAGAAAACAAGAAATAAGAGATCATGTTACCAAATGAATCTTTAATTTCAGGTTGTGAACACTCTTGATAGAAAGAATAATGTATAAGAGTTATTTGAAACACTATAAGAATGTGATTATAAGTTACAAGTAAACTCTAGATTCTTGAACTCACTACTTAATTACCATCAAATCATCATGTGACGCCTGAATAAAAGGAGGTAACGAAAGAAATTGACATCACATCAGAATGAGAGAGAGGATTATGAGACTATGCAAGTATAGTTAAAAAGAAAAAAGAAAAAAAAAGAATATACCAAAAAACATGTAACTTCCTTTTTGGTGCTAATAAAAGGACTCGTGCCGGTCTGGTAGTTTTTAACCTAAAAAAACTTAGGTATTCTCTTAAACTACTTGAACTAGAGGAGCGGTACRAGCTACCTACTCTACAAGTGGGTGCCATGAGGGTACATATGTAGTATATTCATATTCATAAGGTTTTATCTCATAATCAATTGACGATAAGAGAAGTACCAATATTATATATTATAAACTTTTGTTAAGTCTTTTATCCTTTGAATGTATGATCCTCAAAATAGTAACATATTTTAATCAAGGGGAGTGAGTTTTGAAATTAAGTTCTCATTATCTACTAAATCCTCTAAAATAAATATTATCCAAAAACACAAACAAGATATGGAGAAAGACATTTTCRAAAGCATGTTGCTGTCTTTTTTCGTCATTCCGACCTTTTCCTATGACCTACTCTTCAAAYCTAGACTTAACAAACTTCATACAAACTAGTTATAACGCACAAAAAAAACATACCTTAAGAGTGGCTATAATTTAAACCTTAAACATACTTGTAGTAATTGTTGTTATTATATACACCATGACTTTAAGAAATGGTAGCAATTAAACTCAACCAAACTAGTTAGATAAAATTATTACAACACAAGGATTCAATCGAAATGCCGGATCTTTACTTTAGAAAGGTAATTGCTAAAGTTAATTCAAAACACAAACAAAAACAAAAATCCAAAATCCAAAATCCAAAGCACACATTCACACCCACATTGATCATTTAATCATTATATAAATAGCCATCAAATAAAAAAGCTTTCACTATAAACTTAGAGAGAGAGAGAGAAAAAAAAAGATGAGAAACCCTAATAGCAAGCGGCTTTACGAAGCAGCACATAACGGTGACGTACGCACCTTACTAGAAATCGCCGGCCGATACCCGTCCCTACTCTACGGCGGCAGCTGGGTCGAGGCCCCCTACGAGAGCGGCCTCCCGGAGCCGCCGCTTCAGGTGGCGGCCTTTTACGGGCACTTGGATTTGGTTGAGAGGATGGTGGCAATGGAGCCGGCGCTGGCCCACCACTCCGACAAGAAGGGGTTGTCCCCGCTTCACATGGCGGCGGCGAACGGGCATGTGAATATAATAACCCGCTTGCTCCGGGTTGACCCGGATCTGTGCTTCCTCTGCGATGACGACGGCAGAAACCCTCTTCACTTCGCCGCCATGAACGGCCACCTCGCCGCCTTGAAACTGCTCGTCGAAAACATCGGAGCCCGACGAGACGTCACCACTTTTATCAACGCTAAGGATGATCATGGCTTCACACTCCTCCATCTCGCCGTCCATAATCAGCACGAGGTAGTAATCGTGAATTAAAGATCCGATAACGTTATTCTTTCTATTTTTTTTTATAAAGAAAAGTAAAATGGTAGAACTGTACACTCCTGGATTTAAAACGATAGAGTAATATTTTTATTTATATTTTGGAACAAATTGAAAAAAAATCAGAAATAAGATTTTTGTTTTTGTTTGTTGTCAAAACTTTCTATACAAACAATGTTTCTTAAAAAAAATTAAAAACAAATAACATTTATAAAAAATTGTAAACAAAAACGTTACCAAATTAAGTCCTACTTATAAAATTGTTCCAAATTCTTTTACATTAACTTTTTATTCAAAATATTAACAGACCTTTGTATTGTAAGGATAGCTGTACTTTCCAAACAAATGGCGAAATACAAAGTTTTATTTTTTTATCATTTTGTCTTAAAAATTTAGAAACTAAAATAGACTTTCTAAAAATTGAGGTTAATTTGGACCCATTTGATAACCTTCTGGTTTCTTGTTTGTTATTTTCAGTTTTGTTAAGAAATCTAAATATTTTACAACTAATCATGTTTCTTGTTTCTTTTAAAAAATATAAGCGTTTGGTAACGTTCTTTTTAAGCCTCCTCTTTTTGTAGGTTTTTAATATATTTCTCACATACGTCTAATGAAATTATACTTTTTTTCCAAAAAAAAAAAGTTTTTTGTTTCTCCTTCTTTAGGAACATTCTCATATATATATATAAATTTTTAAAAACAACCAAGTTTTTTTTTTCATTTTAAATTTGTTCCAAATACAAATAAAAAAATTATTTTATCATATTTGAATTCATAAAAAGATTGAGATCATACTATTCATTTTTCTTCATTAAAAGTTAAGAAATAGAAACTAATAAACAAAAACATTACCAAATGATGAGTCGTGATTATTCAAGTTTTTTGTTAAAACTATAAACATAGATAGAGTGGAGATTTGAACCTGATGAAGTACAATTCCAATATAATACATTAATTGAATATCCATGTTGGGCAAATTAAAGTTTAATTCTTTTGCAGATAGTGGAATACTTGGTGACATTTAAAATTGAGACGAATGCCCTAAACTCGAAGGGGTTCACACCACTGGACATGCTGATTAATTACCCAATGCCCAACGCGTATCCAAATCTCCTGAAGACGACCAATTTCCTACGTGGATACGGCGCCACCAGCTCATCGGCACTCACCGCCTCCGCCACCTCGCCGGAGCTCTGGGCCAGAAAGAAGGACGCCTTAATGGTGGTCGCATCCCTCATCGCCACCATGGCCTTCCAAGCCGCCGTCAACCCTCCCGGCGGCGTCTGGCAGGACGACGGAAACTCCGGTCAGAGAGCCGGAAAGTCGGTGATGGCGTCCAAAAGCCCAGATCTTTACACCCTTTTCATAGTCAGCGCCACGTCTGCGTTTGCGTTCTCGCTCGTCGAGCTGACTCTGCACATGAGCAATACCGTCTCCAACAGCGTCGCCGCCGTTGGGCTGGTGGCTTATGCCAAGTATATCTCCACGGTGGCGCTGGTGGCGGCTTATTCCTTATCAGTGGCGTTTTTGACGATGTTACCGGAAGACGAGAAAACTGCTACGGGTTTTAGGACCATGTTATGTATGACGGTTGTCGTCATTTTGGTATTTGTTGTTGCTGCCTTGAGATTTGGGTTTGCTCGGAAAGGCCATCCTGCTTCTGTAATTCAATTCCCTCCTCCCAAATGAATTCTAATTTAGTTTATTAAACTGCTATTGAGTATGGGTTTGTTAAACTTTTGTTTGGTTGGTGTTGAATATATTTCGTTAAACTGACTTTATTAAATTTATGTTTTGTTTTGTTGATTGAATTTTAATTTTCTTTTAAATAAATATAATTTATAAACTAATTATTTTACTAAAATCAATTTTCTTATGAAATTAAGAAATACATGAAATATTTTTAATACATTTGTCCATCCAATTTTTTTTTCAATGATTAATTTGTAAAATAGATATTCAACCATCTATGAAAATATTTTTCAAGTATTTATCAAAGTATACAAATTCATTTAACACAAATTTTACCATATAGAAAATGTTATCAAAAATTTATTTAATTTTTCACTATTTACTATCTCAAGTAAATTTGATTATTTAATTATTCTAAAAAATTTATTATTTAATTATCATCAATGTTACTATTAAATTTCTCTTTTGTTTAAAAATTATTAAATTTATAACTATCATATGTGGTCCATTAGTCAAAAGAGACTAAAGTAACTAATAGGAGAATGAGTTCAAATCCTATAGTGCCACTTAACCTTAGGAATTAATAATTAATTTTAAAATTTTATGTCCATGAATTCGATCAGGGGTGAATTGATATTTTTATTGTATTATAAAAAAAAAGTGAAGAAATTATTTGAAAATATTTTCATTAATTTACTCATAATAATGTAAATAATAAGGAGTTAAAACTTTTTTTAAAGGGTAATAACCTTTTTTTTTGTTAATTTGTTATAAAAAGAAAAAACTTATTCGTTATTATAATTTTTTATTCATCATCGAAGTTAAATTTTTTTTTTAGTACCGATGTTTAAAATATTAAGCTTTGTTTGTAAATACTTTCTTTTATTATTATTATTTTGAATTCAAAAGCTGTAGTCCATTATTCAATCTCCTGTGCGACAGTCACATTTATAATTCTATATTTGAAAAATATATTCCAAATATATGCTAGTTTAGTTTTAAATTTTAATTCACACCGCTGAAATAAAAGGAATTGGACTTTCTAAAAAAAAAAAAAAAGCTTTCATATTCTAAAACATTCGAGACCCAATAGAAGAGAAGGGGACCCACTTAGCATCTAGAACCATCGAAACCCTTTACTTTCTTCTTTCAGAACCTTCTTGAACTTTCCGGCGACCGCCGATTCCACCGCCCTCCACGCATATTAATACCATCTCTCCCGGAATTCCACATCCATCTTCTAATTTCAATTCACCGGAGCTTTCTCTGTAATTTCAAGAACAAAGAGAGATCGTTTTCCCGCGAGCGACGCCGATGGATTTCAGAATTCTGGATTCTCCTCTGTTCTCCACCCTGCAACAAATGGTGGATATGGCCGACGGCGGCGCCGGCAAGCCCATCACCGGCCCGACCCGTGCCTACGTGCGGGACGCGACGGCCATGGCCGCCACTCCGGTGGACRTAATCGAATACCCGAATTCGTACGTTTTCGCGATCGACATGCCGGGAGCGAAATCAGGGGAAATTAGGGTTCAGGTGGAGGACGAGAACGTGCTTCTGATCACCGGCGAGAGGAAGAGAGAGGAGGAGAAAGAATCGGCGAAGTATTTGAGAATGGAGCGGAGGATCGGAAAATTCATGAGGAAATTTATGTTGCCGGAGAATGCGGATACGAACGCCGTGACGGCGGTGTGCCACGACGGCGTTCTCACGGTGACTGTGCAGAAGCTGCCGCCGCCGGAGCCGAAGAAGCCGAAGACGATTGAGGTTCAGATAGCTTAATTTAATCCATGGCTTTTGGAAGATTTCTGTGATGTGGGAAAATTGTAATGTTAGAACAAATAAAGTCTCTGTTCTGTGAGAATTCAACCAAAAAAAAGAAAAAAAAAATCTGTTGTGTGAAATTTGATCTTTCAATCTCAATTTCCATCCATCCTATGCTTCTTCCTAAATCCTCTTTTAACTGGAAATAATACGTTCTTCAAAAACACTGTTTTAGTTAATGGCCGAAGAACTCAAATTTATTCTCTTGTGAATATTCTTTCAACAGACGTTTAATTGTTAACATCAGTTGAAAAAACAAGCGAGCTTATTGTGTTTAAAAAAATCAATTGAAAAAACAATTGACATTAATTACAATATAGGATTTCTTATTTTATATTATTTTTGTTACTCTTTTTTTCTTATTTGAGTGTAAAAATTAGAAAAGAAAAAACAAATGGTGGGTTAGTCTTGTGTTCTCAGTAATGATGATTCTTCAATTTCCCATTTGGCGTTGGTGACGAGGACCAGGTGGCGCTGGTCTTGGTCTTGGTCTTGGTCATGGTCTGTTTACCACCAAGACACGAAAATTTATAGTCTCAAAAAGTTTTTYACACTATTTTCATTTCCATTAAATTTATGATCTCCTRTGAGATTATTTTAAAAATAAAATAAAATCCGACCGTGTATCTAATAATATTGTTAAAATRGGTTTAATTTARTAGTAATTAGTATATATTTTTAATTAAGATATTGTGAGTTTACAAACTATATATCTAATAATATAAAATTGTTAAAATAAACTTAATTTAATAGTAATTAGTATATATTTTCAATTAAGATGACATGAGTTAGACCTTTTTTATAATAGAAAACATAATATAAAATTATTACCACGTTATTCCGACAAAATAAGGAGGCCTTGGCCAGTGGTTTTGACTGTGGTGGAGCAGCCGTCGGAGGTCCACGTGGAGAAGACGTCAGCAAGGTGACGTACGGTACGGCGGTCCACCGTTTAGTTTCCGTCGTCAATTCCGCGGGGTAAGAATGTCTTCTTTTTTCTTTTGACTTTTTCAAACAAATAAAAACTGAAATGTGTCTTGACGCGATTGGACGGAAGTTTTAACGGTGGGGCCTCCTCTCCTCTCCTCTATTGACCATGACTTTTTTTTCCTCTCTATAGAATTTGAAATCAAACCATAATTTTGCTTGAAACTATTTTTAAACATCCTGCAGAGTCATATCAATATTTATGGTTTAGCTCTCCAAATCAATTGACCTATAACTCGTATATATTATAAATCTTTATTAAGTTTTTTATATTTTCAATATGAATCCTTAACATCCATCTGAAAAAATACGAGTGGTGTCGATTTTATTAATAATATTAAAATAGTCTCTTGAGAGATAGTCTCAAAATCTACCTCAACATTTATAGAGACGAATTGTGGGTATTTTAAATATTAGTGTTTGTAATAAAAAGTATTTAAAAATGAGTGAACAAAAGTGAGTAAAAACAATATTATCAAATCTTATATAATTTATCCAGATTGATTTTCATTTCGCAGTCTCCCTCTCAACTAATAAAACAACTTAATTGTTTATGATATTCTCAACTAATAACACAACTTAATTGTTTATATATCATAGAGTTGTTATTCAAAATTCTTTACTCCAATTTTTATCATTGGAGTTGGAATATATACATCAAATGAAAAAAAATGATGATCTTTACTCTAAACCTTGGTCAAGATGATGAAACTTTCTCATCCTTCAAAAAATAATTAAAGAAAAAAACAAAACAATATTCTTTGTGTTGGGGGAAGTATAATAACAATTTGGTTAGAATTGCCATTTTACCTAGTAAAAATCTCATGCAATGTTGTGATATATGATTGGTTTAACATAGCAAATTAAGTATTCCAATTTTAATGGACTTAAGTATTAAGAAAMTTTAAGCTAAAAGTCCAAAGTACCCCTTCCTTCTTCAATTAATCCCTCACCCCCTTGGACAATGGCAGCTGTTATATGGACTTAGACTGAGAAACAGTAGTCATCCACAAGATATAATATGACCAATCACTTAAATTTGAAAGGGACATGAAMATTTGGTTCAATATTGTGATATATGGTGTTTCTTGGAAAATAAGGGGTAAAACTTTTGGTCAAAATATTAAAAGATTTGACATTACAAAGTATATATCAATAACTAATAAATTCCCATTTGTGGATGCATATCACAACCTAGGCAGATGCATCTACTTTCGCACGGTTGGTCGCTAAGGAAGATTTTTTTGAAAATGTTTTGGGTTTACACTCCGTGAATTTTGTGTTGAATTCTATTCAAAATGTATGATATTGTATTGAGGAGGTCCAATCTATTTATAAATTCATAACTTGTTTAAATTCTAGTAGTGTAGATTGTCTTGTGAAATTGTTTGTTGCAATTTGGGGTCGTTGCAAATTTAGCACAATTGAGATTAAGTAGAGATCATGTTTTAACCTGAGCTAATGCTAATATGGTAGTCAATATTTAACTTAATCATTATTTTATATTAATTAATGATGACAATCACGTAAAATAAAGTGTAAAATACAATTTTGGTCCTAAGGTTTAGGGTAGGTGTCCTAAAGTTTTAAAATGAACACTTTTTGTTCATGAAGTTTATAGGATGGTTCTAAATGGTCCCTAATAATTTGATAGTTAGTTGATTAACGTTAAGATGATGTGGCAGTTAAGTTGTCAGTACTGTACTTTCAATCGCCTTCGCTCTTCTCCTTCCTCTCTCCTTCTCTAGCGAACCTCACGTTGCCACCTATCAGTCCTTCTCCTCGTCAGTCGATATCGTTAAGGAACTTATTTCTAATATAGAAAGAGGGACGTACATGTTCCTCATTAGATCTGAACGAGGAACTCGGATATCTAAATGAAGAACTGATGTTCCTTGTCGAATTTGAATGAGGAATCTTCTTCGTCGGATCTAAAAAATAATCAGGAAAAAAATGAGAGGGGTGACAAACGAGCGATAGTGGGGAGATGAGAACAGAAAGGGAAGAGGAGAAGGAGAGAGAGAAGAGGGAAGGAAATGAAAAGTCTAAACAAAATAAAAAGATTATTAAATTAATATATTTTGTCAAATCAACAATAGTCAGCCAACAATTTAACCATCACATTATCTTAACGTTAGTTAACTAACGGTCAAAGCATCTAAAGACCATTTAAAATCATTTTACAAACATAAGTGACAAAAAATGTCCCTGATGATAAACTTAAACCAAATAAACACATACTCCAAATCTCGAGTATATTTTCCCTTAAAATAAAAATATATGGTAGTTAATTAATATAAACCTTTTCAAAAATAAATATTTTCAAATATTTCATAAAATAAAGCTACCCATTAAAAATTCCTCAATTTAGACCAAAAAGCATATATTTCCCTTTCTGAAATTTTATGGTCTAAATTAAAAATAGTTTAACATAGCTCAATGGTAATTAGCAAATGTTTCTGATCTAGAGGTTATGAGTTCGAATTTCCGACCCAATTATTGTACTTTAAAAAAAAGGCTTAAGAATTCTTATTTCATACATGCATTGGAGTTGTGAACAGATGGAGAATGGCGTGTTGGCCCATAAATTGCTAGTTTTCATCTTCAATGGCTTTGAATTTGAGTTTGATTTTCCCAATTTTAACAAAAAAAACGTGTTGAGAACTTCCAAACTTTGTGGGACTTTGAAAATAAATGAGTGCATAAAAACTACTCACTATTTCAAAACTCTATCAAGAGGGATACATTTTTCCCTTATCAGCTTTGAAACGCAATCAAATTTCAAACCATTGCGCTCCCAAAAACTCAAAAAGAGCCATATTATGCACATTTCACTTGTCATTCTCGAATGTTCTCAAATTCACATTCTAAAACAAGGTTGAACGATTCCAGATAACCCTCCGCTCATCTCGTTTATGAAGAATGCTACACAGAACGTCATATATCGTCTTGTGTTAAAGATATCTATAAAAGATTTAATTTTATCGCAGTGGTGATCTAACAGCTTGCAAGATGAAAAATAGGTCATGATCTGCGGGTTTCAAGATATTGATTTGATTGTATGTTCAATCGTGGACTATTGTGCATCTATTGTCGGGAATCTTTACGTTTGACGACCTTCACCGCCCGTCGAAGGGGTCGATTTTGGAGGAAGATAATGTGGAGGCTCAAATGAGTGCATATATGAATTCAAAAGTCTACTCAGAGTCATCCCTTTGGGATACCCCACAGACCTTGTATTCTAATTTCTACACTTTGCTGGTCTTCTCCTTTCATTATATTAAGCATTAGCGTTGAAGCTTCCTAAGTTTGGAGGAAAGTCAGTGGGAAGCTGCCTGCCTAAGCTTAGCTAGCTCACTTCATATTTTGGCTATTTCTATATCTATGCCACAATTCTTTTATCTCTAATTCTGATCTCAGTTTCAAAAAGTATCCTACTTTTGTTTGCTTCTTTATTCTCTCGGTTCCCAAATGTCTTACAATAGTAACCAGCACCTCGCTACGTCTGAGAGCGATCTTGCCGAGCAGCCCGGGTTCGAGTTTCCGGACTGGATGTTCGATGGGTGGCTCAATGAAAACTCTTCGTCTCTGGCTGAGTCGGTCATGTACCCGGTTTATAAAGCGGGCGAAGAAGTCGATGAGATTGTTGGGATCAATACCATCCACCAAGGAGAGCCTAGCAGCAGTAAGCACATATAACTCCCTATTGCATTTAAGAATTTTTGTAAGTTTGCGAATGTTTTTTCGGTTTCATGAATATGGTTTCCCGAGGGATGGTGCAGTGGCAAAGACATGGGGCCTTGTGGTATCATCAACTATAAGGTCTTGTGTGTTCAAGTCCTGCACTGATCATAGTGTTACTCAGCCCGAGCAATGAGTCTCAATTATAGAAATTCACTAGTGTAAACAACATTGCATCGATTCCAAAAAATCTATTTAAAAAAAAGTTTCACATGAATATGATTTTTAATGGTGTTGGTAGGAGACCGTGGGAGAGAGAGGGAAGTTAGAGAGAGATTTGCATTCAAGACAAAATCAGAAATTGAGATTCTAGATGATGGGTTCAAGTGGAGGAAGTATGGGAAGAAGATGGTGAAGAACAGCCCAAATCCGAGGTAAGAAAAAACCAGTAATGTTCTAGTTGAACGGAACACAATTCTATCTAAAACATGGTTCTTTGTTTCAAACAATGTACAAACATGAACAAGAAATGTTTTGTGTGTTGTTAATCTGAAAGTTCTTAATGCAGGAACTATTACAAATGCTCAATCGAAGGCTGCCCGGTGAAGAAGAGAGTCGAGAGAGACCGAGAGGATCCGAGATATGTGATTACGACGTACGAGGGTGTTCATACCCATGAAAGTTCTTGATTTGTTTATTTTTACACCAAATCTCTCCCAATGTTAAATAAGCCTACATTTTTGGGTTTCTTGTGGGGAATTATAACTAGTATATGAACATCAACGTCAGGTAATAGTTCTAGCGATCTGTTGTTTGTCTGATATCATATTTGCAGTAGAGGCCCCATACCAAACATTACTATTACATATATTAAAGATACGACAATCCAAACCATACCGTTACAGATCAAAACACCATGTAGGAATCGTCGAATTTGCATTAGTTTGTCCCATCTCAACTTTCCATTGAAAAGCTCTTCCTTTTTCTGTCATTAAAGAACATGGTACCACGAAATATGTTAATCACAAAATTCATACATTTACAGAAAAGGCTCTTGATTCATCCAATATATAACGAAGTGATCTTGTGATGTGAAGATAACTGAGAGCTTTTGTTTTGACCAATTCCTTTACAAGTGAAAGAAAAGAAAAAAAAAATAATCCATAGTATAAGGCCAAGCGATCCAAGAGATCGATCAACTGAAACATATATGTGAAGCAATACTTTGGTTCGGGATCACGATATTGGGGTTTCTTTTATGTGAACCCGAAGCTGTCGAAGCGGAAATCATTCCCTCGCCATGTATATCAGAGGAAATGCTCCACAAGATATCGCCAATCAGAACTTTGTCACCACGCGACGAAAATCTAACGATCGCTTTCGACTTGGATAATGGAAGCTTGAAGTTCCCACCCATTCCACTTGAAAGCAACCAACGGGATCCGGATTGCTGCTGTGCGGTGGTTCCCCAGTACTGAGTTTTATTAAGCTCAGAATTTACACCCAGAAGATGAATAGCAGAGATTTTAAATGCGTGAACAATGTTCCCTTTATCTGCTTTCTCCCGGGTCGTTTTATGACTCTCTTCTTGTGCTTCCAATGGCTCATTCTCCTTGTTGACATCGTTTGCTTCAGAGGCCGTGCCATGCATTGTGTCGATAAAAAACCTCTCAACCTCCATTATGCACATCATCGGGCCACCAACAGGTTCATAGTTTCGTAATCGATCTCTAAGTTGCACCATGAGAGCCACCACGAGCTTGTTCCCAAACAATCCCGGCTCCTTGATGGATATCTCGGAGTCGATATCTTTTGATAGTCTTCCAACTATATCTGCATAGTTAGCACCATGGGCCACAAGAATCTTCATAATGTGCTGACCATTTTGATCATCGCCATTAATGAGACCAGCATCAAGCCTTAACCAATCTTCCAATGTTATAGAAAGATCCATCAACCCAACAACATCACTCGCTGTATCAGGCCGCTCCATAAACTGTAGTTCCTTTAGTACTTCCAAACTACAAGAACCGTCCAAACTGGAACGTCTCTGTCCACAGGCTGGCACACAGTGAAAAGGGCGGGCATTGATTTGTGATGGCATCTCATCATCTGTCATGCCGGATTGTATTCTCAAACCTTCTATTAAGAGTGTTTCGCTCTTGTCCAGTGCTAGAAAAGCTAGATCATCTGGCACCATGAGGTCTCGGTTTGTCTCAAAATCCAGAAAAGATGGCAATCCTTCATCGTCTTTCCTTCCACAACATGAAACCGAACTACACGATAAGTTATTCTCAAGCATAGGCTCCCTGTGACAGAAGTAGATGAGTCAAGAATTTGGCATAATGAAAACCTTCTGAGTTGCAATTTAAAAGTTTTAGAAATCAAATCAATATTGCAATGGCTGACCTCTCTAGCATTGTTTCACTGGGAGGACATTCTGATATCATTTGTTGGAGAGTCTTTCCGGTAATATCGTCCAAAGGCATTAACTTTTTTGCCAGTGTCGAAAGGTTTTCGGTTCCAGCCAACGCTAAATTTTGCGAAATCTCCATGATATTATGACCCATTTCATCAGGTAGAACAACTGGATCAGAACATTGAACGACTAAGCTCTGTCCAGTGCTAGTGTTTGGAGAGAGCGAACGACTCATGGACCGCAAAAATCCGCCACTGTTTATCTTAAGAAATGCACCAAAGCCTTCTCCAAGTGAAGGTAACTTAGGTGGCTCTTCTTCTTGGGGCAACTCAATAGGACTCCCAAATCCACTTGAACTATAATGTGGAGAATGCTCGAAATCTCTCTCGTCTAAGCCCCATTCTTGCATTAAAACTTCGGTCTCTAAGTCTTCGAGAATTTTGACATTCCTTCTGTTCCTCAAGGACTGATGTCCTTCCTGTGCTTCTTCAGGAATATAAATAATTGGAGAAAAATCAAAATCCTCATCTTGATTCCCAGAACAAGACTCCATAAAATCCAATAACGAATTACTATAATCCTGCAACTCTTCAGTATCTGTAAAATCCAATAACGAATTACCAAATACAAGAGATTCCTCCTCAAATTCTCTCAATAAGCGCTCTCTAGGAGACGATATATCAGGATCTGAAAACCTTGAGGAACCGTGCTCCAACCCCAGCTGCTTTAGAAAATCACTAGCCACAGATTCATAGGAGTCATCATCTAAGCTAAGAGATCTTCTAGCACAATTCTCCTTGGCATCCATATCGATATCTTGTTTGAGGAGTTCACCAACAGCTAACGAAGAATTAGTCTCCACTGACCGTGAGGTTGACTTGAGATCAAAATCTGAACTGAGCTCTTCAGGAGTAACTTCCTCCACTTGTAGGTGATTCTCTTCATATTTGAAGCCATCCAATATAGAGTCATCAACATGAATATCGCAGACTGCATCCTTCAATATGTTGCTCAGCTTAATTTTGATGGCAACTTTCTCATCTTCGATGATCTCATCCAAAGAAACAGTTTCCATTTTGGAGCTCTCAATAGTCCGAACAGTACTTTTATCCATACTAAGCTCTTCTGTCCCAGCTAATTCTATCCCACATTCAATAATGGAAAACTCACCACAGTCATAACCACCTCCACCAATTTCTTCATCAGACTTGTGTTCCTCAGTAGATTTTAATTCAAGTTGCTTGGCAAACTCGGAACCTGAATGCTCTGGCTTATGCTGCTCTGTCTCATCCATCTTACGATACAAAAGGTTTATCGACTTAGATAGCTCCAACCTTGGATTTAGTTCATCAAAATTTCTTGTATCAACTAACTGAGTTGAGGTAATAGATCCATATTTTTTACTATGAGAAACATTTCCTTCTGGACTTGGAAGCCCATCTAAATTAGTTGAAGTAAGGCGGGCACCATAGGTAGAAAAACTTGACCTATTTTGCAATAACTTCAGGAGTTGGACAACGTTTTCGGGACCGCTCAATTTCATTGGATCATCCTTAGTTACCAAAAAACTAAAACTGACGTTTAGGGTAGCACCTCTCGCATTGACCCCAAGTCGAAAGCTAGTCGACCAGTTCCCAGAACACTTCTCCCCCTCTAGCTCCTCTAAGGTAAGAGGTAAAATCCTTGTGAGGTCAACCCAATGCTCCCCAAAATCGAGCCTAGGTGCCCCAAACATGGAAACATAGATCAAGAAAAGCTTCGGGTCATATTTTGCCGAGCCGTTAGCCAAACTTTTCCCACCATATATCAAACATTTGTGAATCAAAGTCTCGTCAAATTCAGCCATGCCTTGCAAAACCTTAGACGGCTGAGTCTCCAAAATCTCATCCTTCCTTTTCCAATGCACACTTAAACTATAACCATTGAAACTCGGAGACAAACCTTCTATGGAATGAACCTTGAGATAAAACACACAGTTGAACTTGCGCTGCCGAATATGAGTAAGAGCTTTCAAAGATTTCTTCCAGTTCCATGTAGATGACGACCTTCTTTCATTGACCAATGATTCTTCTTCCCTCGAAGTTCCCTGGTTGAATCTTGATTTTGATTCAGTCAAGTGGGATTCTAACCGTCCATCAGGTGGGCAAAAAACCGAGTTCGTATGGCCCTTGTGCAAGTACAGAGCTTTACTTATAGCCTCAATTTCCTCCAGCAACCGACCCCCATCAGACTCCCCTATGCCATCACAATTTCCAGACTTCATTTTGCACTAAACAAACCCACAATCCGCTACGTATTTCAACAATTTCATCATAGAAAACGAAAACCCCCCATAAATAGCTGAATCACAAACAGCAAAGAAAGAGAACACAAAGGAACTCAGCATCACCATCATCAACAATAAGCAACCCCATTTCAAAACAAAATTATAAAACATCATTCCTCTTACTAGAAACAACAATCAAATCTCAAAATTCAGTAGAAAGACGAACAGAAAACAACTAGCAAAACAACATAAACGAAAAATCCCAATCCCAACAGACCCCATCAAAACATCGGATCAGTTAAGGATTAAAGTTAAGCAATCGAGTTACCAAGAAAGAGAATGACACAGTACCGAATTCAATAGTTGGGCAGCTTCTCCGCCACAAAAGATGTACACTGTAACCCGAAAAAATGATAAGAGTAGAAAATTAATGACCCGGAGGAAGATTAATATTCATCAACTGAGGCCGAAATAATCTGGGAATCGAATATCTTCTTCTATTAGAAATCTTCCTGGATAGTTTTTTCAGAGGAAAAGCGTGAGAGACATTAATATTTTGTCTTCTGTGCCACCGCGCCTGGAGAAGCCGCGGACTTGGAAAGGTAATAATTTTAAAAAGAAAAAATGGATCGTCGATTCGGGTTTCATTACTGTGTGAGTGAATTCACCCGAATTTTGTACAATCTAATACCTGGTCCGTTGTATTGGGAGAAGGGGGTGCCGATCATGGGATCGGATGGCTGAGAGAGAAGAATTCGCCACGTGTCTCTTGATTATTGGAGGAAACCTACCCAACAACCCCGCCTACCCCCCTCGTAAAGTTTGGAGTTTTACATAAATGTCTGCCTTTTTCCTCTTCTTTTTGGTTTTTTTTCTTTTAATTTTACACGTGTCAGAGGCAGGGAATTAAACTTTTTTTCTATCGGGTCAATATTAACAAGGGAATCCATATAATAGTATCATAAAAAATTAATAAAATATAAAAATTAACAACATAACATCACTAATATAAACATAATATTAATATTAATCATTTTTAACGTATTTAAAAAAATGTGAAATACTTATTGGTTTATATATTTGTTAGGAATTTTTTGTTTTTATAATTTTTTTTTTTAGAAATATCCAATGACATCCACATTTTATTAATATTTTAAAAATAAAAACAAATTTTTTAGGGGTCAATGATTCCTCTTTTTTAATCCAACTTTGATTTTCAAAAGCTTAAGTTTTTCAATAGAAACTAGAAACAACAAACATGAATATAAACAAAAATAGAAAACAGTTGTCAAATGGGTCTTAAATATTTTGTTTTAATCACTCAACTTTATATTTGAACAAAATTTAATGTCTTTTCTTTATTTACTTGATTATTTTTTAGGAGATTATTTTCCTAATTAAGTATTTGAAATCAAATATAGCAATATATTAGATTTTCAAAAAAAAAAAAAACCAAAGCTTTCATTAAATAATTAACCAAAAAAAAAGAATGTCAATGACTATAAATAATTTTATATACAAATTGGACAGCTAAAATAGAATATGTGGAAGTTTGAGAGTTAAATTAGAAATATCAAATAGATAATTCATTTCTTGCGATGAATGGAAATATTACCCATCACTGAAACTGAAACGTACATTTTGGCTTCCACAAAATTTTAGTTTTCGTCAAACAAACTCACTAAAATCTCAAAATAAAACTAGGTAAAATAAATAAAGCAAACAGATCTCATACAATCCAGAGTCAAATGTAACTTAATTGTATACAAATTGATATAGTCAGATCGTAATTAAATTTTTAATGTTAAAACCTAATTATTGCATCTCTAAAAAGTACTATAATGAAAAAAGTACTAATAAAACCAAAATAAATAGACTGAGACTGCATGTTAATCCATATGTTAACATTAAAGTTAAAATACACTTTCTTTTATATGAATGTTAAAATACACTTTACTTCACGCAACCATTAAAAATACTTCATTTGATTAAAACTACATATTACCCAAAAAAAAAAACTAAAACTAAACTAAACTAACAAAGATATTGAAATTCCATTTCATGAAACATTGAATCAGAGAGAGAATTAAATAAATGAAGTTTACTTTCATGAAACATGAATGGAAGGCCAATTTTATTAACCTTAATTCATAACCATTCA